TATATATATAGAGAGAGAGAGAGAGAGAGAGAGAGAGAGAGAACAGGACTCCATCGGTTGGTTCTGCTAGTCATATCTATCATTTCTATAATTTGTTATGAAAACATCCCTCTCCAAGGTTCTGTCAATCGCAGCAAATAAGTTTTATTTTAAAACCTGGAAGTTCCCGATGTCTTCAGGTGTAGTTTACATTTTTGTACATTTAATATAAATATTAATGATACGGATTTTTAATTGTTTTTTAATATCGACATCACGCACAATCTGGATGCAAGGCGGGTAGTATCGGGATTAGGCGAGGCAGCACAGGGCGAGGAGTGGGGAAATAAGCCGGGTGGTTTTGGCATTTTTGGCGTAAGGCAGAGCAAGTCAAAGCGGCGATACACTATAAGCAGAATTCATATATTTTTATGTTAGTGTAGAGGAATACGTTAAAGAAATACTCGGAGAGGAGAAATTGAATCCGGCTGTAAACCCCAAGTAGCAAAGACCTTCTGCCAGGCTGCGTAGCTTACATGGGGAAAAAGCTTGTCGAACAGCCATTTCAAGAAGATAATTTCTTAATTACAATTACTCTTAATACTAGTCGCTCGATTTTGAACACCATTTGTTATTTAAAATAATTTATGAAATGGTTGGGTTTGTATTTTTACTGTTTGTTCACTAAACACTCACACTTTATTGCTTTGTGAATATTTCGCACCAATATTTCCATTCTGTCCAGACTTTTGCCACTCTCGCCCATTGTCTGCCTACTACCTTTTTGAAGTCTGCCCGCTTTACTGTCTTCATACATTCCTGCAGCCTTCCCGCGTGACCCACAATGTTAAACGATGAGTCCAACGTTCTTGTTGGATGTATATAACATCCTTCCTATTTCTATGTCAACTTGTAAGCATTTTCTTTGGCGTCTTCGATGTATGTTTTGATCTTCATTTCTACATTTTTTATCTTGATTGTAAGGGATATAGGCAGTATTTTTCTTTCTATTTTCTCTGGCATACCATAATCATATTCTGGCATTTTGTACTGATGGACCAGGTTTGTTTGCCGTAAATCATTGTTGGCAAAATGCTTCTAATCAAAATTTGTCATTTCATTTTTATACTAACATTTTTATTCATGAATTTTAGACTCCAACATTTGCCCAAGGTAATGATATTTTTCTATATATTTCGATTTCCATTTTCTTTTCAAATAACATTACGTGTAAATAAATGTAATCTTCAACTATTCAATTTCTTTGAAATTGAAATATTTCCTTCTTTACTGTTGTCATTAATATTGTTTTCTGGACATTCATATTTAGACATTTCTTACTACATAGATGTAAATTTTCCGAAATCTGAAACAAATTTTCCGAAGAAGACTACGTCATTTGCGAATCTTAGGTTGGATAGTTGAATTATAATTCACCTCCAGTGTCTGAATTCGGCCTATCTATTTAGCTATCAAAAATCCTATAAGCGTTGAAACCGTTCTTGTAATAGAAAAGGCCCATTCACAATGCAAAGAAACATAAGCATGGGGTTAGCATAAAAGTTAGCGTCAATAAGTGGACTTATTGACAATGTGTTCGCATAAGCATAACACGAAAGACGTTAAGTTACAATGTTGCACGCTGCTGTGCTTATGCTTAAGTAAGACATAAGAAATGAACCAATCACAGTACGTTAACTCAAAATCGAGCGTCGAAATAGTATCGAAGTCGATAAACGAACTAATGCCATCTACACTGGATGACGTGGGACGAAAAAACACCAAAGAGTACGACAAAAGTGTATTGTACAGAAGTCTTTGCAAAATACTGTGGTTTTGTTCTACTGTTTGCTGCGTTGGCACTAGTTTAAATCGAAACCATAAGCCTTAGACACAATCGATATCTTCGAAATAGATTCTCACATCTAACCCCATAGTAAAATGGAATGTCTCACTAGAAACTCTTGTTTTACTTCATTCTTTAGACATTGTGAATACCATGGTGGAAATAACCATCATGGTAAATACTTCAGTCTATCACTTACGTAAATGTTTACGTCTATGAGTTATGCTCATGTTTGCGTTGTGAGTGGGCCTTAATTGTTGGCTGCCGAGCCCCGCCCGGAAGCAACGTGCGTCCGGAGCTGAGGCGGGGGCGTGTGCGCAGGCGCTGTGGGCGTCGGGGCTGCGCGTGCGGCTGCTGCCGGGCACCGAGGCGCTGTTTGAGGGCCAGCCGCCGGGCGACGTGATGTCGCGCCTGCGCACGCGGGTGGACGTGGATCGGGGCTACGGCGACGTGGTGGCGCGCGTGGCCCGGCACCCGCCCACGGCCGCCGTCTCCTCCGAGATGACGTCGCGCTGGATGGCGGCGACGCGCAGCCTGTGGCGCGGCGGACGCCCGTTGCTGCACGTGGTGGACGAGTGTCCTCTGCGGCCGGGCTTCGTGGGCTACCAGGTGCCGCGCGCGCTGCCCTTTCTTCTTAGGTGGGTACCACCAATACCTACTAACCAATACTACCCACCAATACTAGTAGGGAGTGGTACCACGCCGGGGGGCAGACGGCCACAAGGCCTGAGGGTCTAAGTGGTGGCAGAGTCGTCCACCCGGTCACTCGGCGGCACTCATGTTGTTAGCTTCAATGTATAGCATTGAGTAGGCGATGCTGAGCTCCATGTTACCGGATTCGTCGGGTAACCCACCAGCTGGGCCTTGCTACATTGACCTTTGGGCGAAGAACGTTCTTCGGGTCCCACATATAAAAGTCCAAGAGGGGACCATGAACTCCCCGTCACATTGTCTAGTATCCGGCGTTACTCACGTCGAGGTGGAGGTAGAGTGAGGAGACGGGTGAGGGATCCGAGCCCCCTGGGTGGCCCCCATTTGGGCACTTGGCATGTTCGTGGCAGTTGCAATATATTCTTCGCATTGACGAGGTATTTGTCCTAGCGCATTGTTTCGACTCTTGCCAGTAACTCTGGGCTGGCAGGGCGGCCAGACCCAGGCATTGGATGGGGAGGTTACCGTGAGGATCAACTGCGTTCTGGCGGGACCCAAATACCAGCCCAATGGCGTGGTTGTGCGCCTGCGGGGATGAGGATCGAGGCAAACGCTCAGGTGCCCACTCAAGGGAGAAGTACCCTTGGTAGAACATATAGTGCGCGAAAATAGAGCAGACTAGACAAACGACTGCTCAGAGCATCAACTGATGTCACTGCGGTGCCTCTGACCGAGAGGTACTAGGGTTAGAATCCCGACTACCAAACATGTTGAGAGCTTAAATCTTAAACCGACTGAAGCGGTGAGCGCTTTTCGTCACTAGCTACATAGGGTCGAATTTAGCTACTACCCAAAGGAGAATTCTAGCGGCCAGCTGCTCTGATCGGTAGTATTCCGTAGTTTCTCCGATCAACATCATGCAATATCGGAGCAGTACCCTAACAAACTAGCCACGGACCGCGTGCGATCTTTCCGTCCCTTCCGTTCCTATCCTCGCCCCTTAAATCCACACCCTTACACTACCAAACATTACGAGGGCTTAAAACTTGAACCGGCTGGAGCGGTGCCGCGCTGATGGGAGATACTTGGTTGGAGAAAACCCCACCAGACGACGTAGGTCGGCGCTGGATCTCATCATCCAGCGCGGGAAGATCACCGCCAACTCAATCGATTAAAACATACACTACACTTACGGGAATATTGATGTTATCTGTTGACGCGTCCGGTACCAACCATAAAGCGTTTGCGGTTAGTTGTGCGAATTTGGTAAACCACAGTTTAACCACCAAATCCCCTGAAAATTCTCTCTTCATCTACTACCTCTTGTACCCTATACTTCCAAGGTATCATATTTCTATAGCTCTAGGCAGGGCTACGTTCACACTCATCGGATTGTTTTTCAGCATATGCTTCTCTATCGCCCTAAGGCTTTGATTCAATTCATCTAGGAGCTTTCCTTGGAATTCTACCAGTTGTAGCATAGTTCCCCATTTTCCTATTATGAGGTCAGCTGTTGTTTCCTTACTTCCTGCTACAAGATTATCCGATTTCTTTCCCTCCATTGGTCCCCGCCGGCCCCATGGTCCAGTTTGCGGCGAATTTGCCGCGCCATCTCGTTCCGAAGTCATGCTTGGATTTTGCTCCCGCTGGTCAGTAGGTGTCCCTGGAGTGGTTGGGGTTCTTGGAGGCGATCTCTGCAGTTTCGACTTCCCAGAAAAGGGGTTAATACCTGCGCGCTCTAGGCTTTCGCTTGACACAGTGTAGCATTTCAGAGACGCCAAGCGGTCCACGTCTCTGAGATTGCAGTCGCTGGTTGACGACCGCCGGGGGCCTGCTTGCCCACCCGCGGCTGCCGGTACTGGGGCTCCGATCCCCAGCACCGTAACGGTTGATGCTGAGGGACCTTCCATCGTGGGTTTCTTTACGGGGTCATCTTCCCCTAGCGTTTTAACGCTGCCGCCAGCGTCTGGACTTGGTCCGCGAGTGGTATTTTATTTCCCACCTACCCTCCAGCGTGGTCGGTAAGAGGATACCCCGATCCGCCACCCAGGGACGCGTCCGATAGGAGACCAGATTACTCCCATGGATTATTATTATTATTATTATTATTATTATTATTATTATTATTATTATTATATTCACTGAAATTTTTTTTTATATTATTAATCCAAGCCTGGCTGCAGGACAGTAGATAATTCATTTTTAGGCAACCACAACAAAAATATATTAGGCTGATACCTTTATCTATATCAATTACATTTCACAATTTCTGCACAACGAACCCTTTCACACCATTAACTTTCTAAGTTTACCACTGAATGTTCATAAGCATCCACCTCTTCCCTAGTTACCCTTGTGTAGTTTGCCTGCTCAGGCAGGTACACCTCATTCCAACTGCTCAGGTATTACTAAAAGTTCATCTGTGGGATTGGGCAAAGTGTCTAAGCACCCGCTCTATCTGTTGATGCCTAGCTGCACTATTCACCTACCTGTTCAATTTATGGCATTTATTTTGATGTATTGTCTTTTGAATATTCTAATACTCTTGAAATTTCATTTTCACAGGGTCATTTTTCTCAGTCGTTTGCCAGATGCCTTTTCTAATTAAGACAACCTTTGAAGGCCACAGTAAATTTCAAGAATCAATTCTGATGTATATTTTTAATAAATGAGATTGTCATCATTGGAGCAAAATTTCTACAAATGGGTACAAGAACGCATTGAAAAATCCAATGGAGTCTGACATACTTTCTGATACAACTCAATTATTATTGAAAATACATCAGATGAAAGGTTCAAATTACTTGAATAAAATCATTCTGAATTTATATAGACTACTAGAACTTAGTCCTTGCTGAGAAAAAAATTAAAAATTAGTTATCTACCTTTCATATTTGAAAAATATTTTTATTCTCGGCAATACACATGCAACCAGAACAATTACAAAAAACACAAAAGCATCTTCAAGACCGCAGATGGGGTAATTTCAGTGGACCTCATTAAAAAAAAATAACATTTTTAGCTCATCAAATGTAGAAATAAAAATGTTTTAGTGTCAATGAAAGTTAAGTTTAAATATTATGTCAGAAACATAATATTAAACTAAAATCCATTTAACTTTCATTTGAAATACAGCAAATTATTTTGAACTTGTAACAACATGTTCATGAATTGGCAAGTTTTTCACAGCAACCAATGCAAAAATTTAGCAGGCTTCCAATGATCTAGAAGATATCAAAGTTGAATATCAGAAGAGAAAATCCTCATTACATTTCATTCTTAAGTCTGTATTGTTATAAAACCTTAATTTTAGAGAATAATTGTTTGTCAAAATTAATAAAGATAATGAAATTAATAATGTATCAGTGAGACTTTCCGGAGGATATACTTGCCTTTGTAGCTGGTCTGGTGCGTATTGTGTATTCCTATTAATTTTTACTGTCAATGTTAATGCTAGCTTCTTGCATCAAAGAAAATAATATACTCTAACACTTTCATCAAGAGTGGCATATTAATAAAAATATTTTTGCACCTCTCAATTTCAATTATTATATTGATGCAAAGATAATCAGAAATAAAATATCAATATTTGCAATTTTTCCTTTTCTTACAGATTAGAAAAGACGATATTACTATTGTTGTCTGGTGGATTCCCAGGTCACTGGGTTCAATCGCTATATCATGAAGGTTTAATTCGAGGCGACCTGCAAGTAAGAGAAGATTCAACACTTGAGGAACTAACATCTTTCTCCCCAGAACACTTGCAATCAGCGTTCTTTATATTAGTGGGTGGTCTCTTCATTTCAATCATGTCATTTCTTTTTGAAATATTTGTCAACATCATAAAGCAAAAGGTATAACTTTCTGACATAGGAACACCTTTTAACTGCAATTAACACAAGTTATCATAAACACAAGTTCATCCAACAAAAAGAAATTAAACTGCATTAACAAATGGAACAAAATCCATTTATTTTGTAATTTTTGGCAACAATATTACAACAAATACATGTGAATGCTCAGAATCTTCATAAAATTATGAAAACAATCTTATACTCTTGCCTTCACACCAAAATAAAACTTATTTACATTGCAAAAGCCCGGAACTAGAAAAGGATACAAGACTCTCGGTCTGATAAATACAAAAACCTATGACTTCCACTAAATATGTACAGAGCCTCATACAAGACACATCTGACAAGTTATTAAAAATTGTATGATCTACATTGCTGGAACACTGATAGTTCCCGACAAAGCCACAAAAATCACTTTCTTGTGTCACCTCCCTTAATACAAGAATTTCACAAAACCAGCATTGGCAAGGAGCAACAAAACACAAATAAGTGATATCACACCATCTAGGAGCCTCTATTTAATCAGCTGCCATCATCACATAACTGTACACTGAGAAGGATCAGAAGGATTCGGAAATTCTTCAAATGTCTTGATGGAATCCATAAGGTCTTTAGGTGGTTGACCACAATCCTGGACCTGAATGTTAAAAGCAAGGAGAATACAAAAATTAAATATGAAATGTAAATTGACAAAAAATAGAAATAAAAGTTAATGAATAGACATATATTAAATATCTCATTTTTCAGGAACAAAAAAATTCACATTTAGCCGACATATATATGTTAAAAAGAATCTCTCGACAACATTTTCTGAACTTCCTGCTACCCACAAATTACAAGCAAAAAGCTTACAAATTAAATCAACTCTACATTTGAATCACAAATACAATGCTAAGTTCCAAGATTGATTTGCCCATGAAGTCGTAGGCTTCATGGGACTCGGACAGCCCAGATCAGCCAAATGATTTGTCCATGTCTACCTTATCTCTGATTTCGATGGTTTTGAACTTTCCAAATCCTTTTTATAATAGACATCTTCTATAAAATATGCACTATTACACTTTCATATTTTCTTTCACAAATGAGAAGTACTTTTGCAATGCAATACTGGCCTATAGTAACCTACAGAGTGATTTATAAAATACCATCAAAACTAAGCCTTGTACACAAGCAACTACTGAAGAGATAATTACCCCTTAAGAATGCATCATTGAGAATAAAGATGGAAAATGAGAAAGCTATGAAGAACTGAGGTAAACTGGCAACAGAAACATACTTTATACTGCAGCACATTGCCATTGTACAAAACTTGCGTTCTAATCCTTTAATGTCCAGATATCAAAACTCTAAAGGACAACTCAATTACATTTCTTAGATTGTAATATACAAAATGACATCCTTTTGAACCTTTTTTCTCATTTTCCGAGGATTAGTCCTTCTGAATACTTTCATTCCTCACCTTAGGACAAATCTGCCAAATCTCAAATACTTGTCAAATTACTGTCAAATTAATTGACTGCTTGCCATTTGGAAAAAATTACATGGCTCTAACACATGAACATTTTTATTAATTAATAAATGCTTAGCAATAATACAATGTTTATCCACAAACAGAACCAAAGAAAACCTTGTGCCCGATTTGATGTAAAGCAGGGCCTCACTGTTCAAAGTTGGTTTCAAGTGTGAAGCTAATTTCACTTTTAAAGCTATGGAAGCTATGAAACAAGTACTCGGATCCAACTAGTATCTAAACTAAACTCAGTTCTTTCCCCCCAGGGGCCAGCATTATGCAGTACCCCTCGTTCCTGCTTGGCATTACATCCACTCTCTACCATCAGTACCTGGGGAAAGAACGTCCTCCACTCCCTCTCCATTTTCCCCTCTCTCTAATTCACCAAGTCAGGGCCTGACAGGATAGGGTAGGGTAGGGTAGGGTAGGAAATGATTGATGGAGCAATCCAGTGGAATACATATTGGCAGGGTAAACAGGAGTACCTCTAAAAACCTGCCATGAACCTGCTTTGTCCACCACAAATTCCACTTGGAATTGATCACAGGCACAAGTGACGGAAGGCATGCATGCTGGCCAATATGCAACAGGTTGCCCTGGGTCCAACTAATGGGTAAAAATGGATCTTCTGGGCTCATATATCCAAGACTGTTATAAATATGTATTATTTCTTTATTTTGGGTATCAAAACTTGCAACGCTGATGCAATGTCTAATTTATATGCATTATTTTGTGATAAGTACAACGCAATCTGAAACTTCATTGAATACAACCTGCAGTTCTTATAAAGGACATTCAAATAACTATTAAAAGTAAACAGCATACTTGAAGCACATTTCATTAATTAAAGACTGCAACTGTGTAACTTGTTATATTATTTGAGTCATGTTGTTTTTTGGCAATGTTTCTATAATTAAGAATTGTTTCAGAAAAGTTTCATCAAAACCAAATTTAAATACCATTTGTACTGGTGAACCAGCGCATAAAATTAATTTTTGATTCGACAATCAGAATTCATGGAATTTTTGAAAATGGTAATAATGTTCAGAAAAAGATTAACTGAAATTTACTTTCACTCAATGGCAATATTCTAAATCTACCATAATGAACTATATTTACAAGCTGTATTCCTTACCTGATGCATTAAGTTTATCAAAGAATCAAATCTTTGCTTCTTAACTTCACTGCTATCCGATTCAGACTCTGATTCCAAAACAGAGCATACTTGTGTAATTAGAATTTGTTGTTTCCTGTAACGTGAAACTTCCGATTCCTCTAATTTGCTTTCATTTTCAATTAACCAAGTGTCATACTGAAAAAGATAATGAATACTTTATCATAATAATTAAAAAAAAAAGTTTTGCAGCTTAGTATATAAGTATTAATTCTTTGAAACATTTAGACATATTATTTTTTGTAGGATTACGGAAATTTAAATTGAAACATTTTCGGTGCTTGTTAACTTCATTTGTGATTTAGTCACAATTATTTAAAAGTATATAAGAATACTAGCTGTACGAATTCAGCGTTCTCAACTTTCACAATGTGATTAGAGTTTGCTTTCTTCCTCCTGCAATATAGTTGTTTTCCATTTTCATGATATGGCATTTGCTTCTATACTGTATCAGTTCTTAACTATTTGAAAATTATAAAAACTCCAGAACCCTTTGAAAACAAAAAAATATTTACTTTCATGTGCATCTCCTACTTTTAAATATCACAAAATATTAAAGTTCAATATGTTCTATCTATTCTTTATGTGCCTGAAGTTACATTTAGTAGCAGCAGTTAACAGCAAAGAAAATGAAACAATCAGAATTTCTACCTATAGTTAATATTACCTTGTCTAAGAGATCCTTAAGAGCTGGATACAAAATTTCTTTGGAAAGTAATGACTGCATCATGTTTTGTATGAATGGTAACATTTCATCAGTTCCTTCGCCTGGCATTCCCATTGGTCCCAACATCTTTAACAAATTTTCATCTGGGAAAACATTCTAAAAAAAAAAGAGAAAAAAGTAAATCCACACGACTTATTTTGCTGTTTTCTTCATGCACATTGTACTTAAGGACATAATTACAAAGTGTAGATTGTCAAGTTCACACTTTTGGAGAAATTGAAAGATTAAAAAAAGAACTGTAATCTTGAAAGACAAAATTCCCTAACCTAGCACAAAATAGATCTTGCCAACATAAGAATTTTAGATAAACTATAAAATCTCCACGTATTGTTTCAGAAACAACAGATTAAACAGAATGAAACTATGAATTCTGTGAACGAAAGTAACCGTTTTAGAGGCATATCCTCTGATCTCCCCTCCATCTTGCCAGTTTCTGGTGTAGCCAAGCCACTGCCAGCTAGACCAAGTGTTTGTTTTAGCAAACAAAAATGTCAAACAAAATGAAATATGCTGGTTTGATTATGTAGCTCTCGCATCTTTATAACTTGCACTTACTGTATACTAAGTAATGTATGATAGTTTTCTTATGGTTTGTCTCGTAGTTTACAATGTGATGATGGGGAAAAAATTACTTTCAAAATGTAACAAGGGTTTTCAAAATCATTCTTAAAAACTTAACAATATGAATTCGATGACATTTGGATTTCTGCCAAATTATATTTAGACGTTTTCCCACTTAGATCATCTTTTCATAGTATAAAAAGAAATTCAAAGACCTTTGTTTTGTGTATGTGAAATGTGTATTAGCACCGTGATGAAAAGACACGGGTGATCTATTGTGCAGCCTATCCAGTTAGAGCCAATGAGCTTCATGCACTAGCTTGCACCACAATATTAGCAGGAATTTTAAATGCAGCTCTATTATTACCTTGTCATTGTAACAGATATGAGAAGTACCTTTTTTATATTGCATTTTTTATTCCAACTACACCTTCAAAGTGTTTGTTTCGGTTAGTAACCATTGAAAATTGTCACTTTATGCCGCTTCACTAGGTTTCTCAATACTTCTTGCTTGCCATAAAGCAAGGCAATCAGTGTCTGACCTAGCTTTTCAAACAAAGTGCTCGTGGTTACATGGTGTGCAATATATCTGGTGCTGTGCAAAACAATCAAAAATTGGTGCACCATAAAAGCCCACCCGTCTTTTCATTATGGTTCACACAATGTTGTAGGGACCTTTGCCTTTTCTATCAACAACCCATAGAAAAAAGTAATAATAATGCTCTTCTCAAATGTTTGGTATGTTATAGAAAATATTATGTATTGTTTTCATTGCATATTACTTTTGTAAGACTATGACAGTATATCCCTTCTCTTTTCTTACTCATGATTTGTGAGTATTATTTATGATGAATCACAATGGAAAATATGAACAGCAAATTTTAATATCTGCTATTTTGACCTGCAAATTTTCAGCTCCTTCTGAGAGATTTTTCAGTGTCTCACTTATAGTGGCAGCAAAGTCGCTGTCCATTCCCTGGTCAGACCAAGCTTTTGCAGTAGCTTCTGCCATTTTACGTAAATTTGCATTGAATTCATCAGCAGCAGATTGATCCAAACCTGAAGCAGCTAGAAACAGAATACCATAAAATGTATTTACTGCCAAAAGGATCCAACAAGCTCTTAATATTAGGTTTAAAAATACAAATTTGAGGTTTCTACAAAAATTATTGGAGCAATGGAACATACTTGAAAAGTATGTCTTTAAGAGAAATATATAAAAACTAAATGTAAGTTGCACCAACTACTTGATATCAAATTTTCTATAATTTTTCAATGTTTATGTACAAATGGAAAACATATACCACAAAATTGTAATTCCAGGGGTAGACCTAAAATATATTGTATTTGGTCTCTGAATTAATACATTTTGATTTGTTGCTCTTTGCTTACTCGCCTAGCACCCTCTAAATGCACATGCATTATTTTAAAGGGTAATCAATTCAAATTATTATTCAACATTGGTTAAAAAACACATCTTACTCTGAGATAACACTTCCTGCATATCTTCTTGGAAATTGGCAGCTAAAGCTTTTAACATGTCTTTTTCAAAGTTATTGAACTCCTCTGTAGAGAAGTCAAGGTTAGGAGGCTTGTTATCAGCATCTAATTCTTTAGATTTTTGATTTTCTGAGGATTTTTCTGGTGGTGGCTTTCCAAAGTCATTTAGAGCATCTGTTTAAAAGAAGAATCAGTGATTAGGAGGTGATTACACTTCCTAAAACGATAAATGGTAAGCCACAAAAAATAAATCACAATCAAATATTACTTCAACTACTCTTCTCTAGAATACATTTTCATGTTTTTGAATATTGAAACAAATTGACAAATATTTACATTTCTATCACAATCTCTAAATTGCAATTACCTGCCAAAAGTTCATTCAATTCTTCATCTTCCGCTGGTTGTTGAGCTGCCTTTGCAGATGGTGAACTTTCTTTTTCTGCCATTTCTGCAAATGGATAAATTTTCTTTTAAGAAATCAAAATATTTGGAAGCTAGCCAGAACTCAAATGAATACACTGACCTACATCACATACGATGTAGGTTTCGTTCTGGTAGACATTGGGGAATTATAACGGTTCGTTTCAGAACTGCTCACGAAGGCATGATGAACATGTATGTTGAGGCAATTAAAGACATTTTCAATGAAAAGGGATTTCCATTTCAGGGCTTGGCAAATTTTGGCCCAAATGTGTACATTCTGGCCTTCCGGAATAGTTAATGCCACAAACACGACAAAATTTCAAACAAAAATACATCCTCACGTAATCACGTATCATTTTCGTATAGTGTTAGCCTGCAAATTTAACATTTTAAATGTGCAATTCATCCCAATGAACTTACTTTTCACGTAACCATGAACCTCAACCTGCTCCACACACTAATTGTATACAAAGTGGTGGAACACTGCAGGCGACAGCAGGTGTGGTGGATGATGTAAAGTATTAACAGACATTGAACAATTTTTGCTAATATGTTGGTGAGACTAGATTGTGTTACCACTTCGGAGACTTTCACAACTGTTTTAAGAGAATAAAAAATATCTACCTCTTAAAATTCCTTGTTATATTTTACAACTATTACCTTTCTATATATTGCAATGAAATTTTCATTTCAAATAATACGATTAAGTAAAACTAATTAGAGTAGAATTTCATAGTTGGGTACCCTGGAGTTTGACTTACCAGTACTGACAACACCAATGCAAAGAAAGTAGCAAAATTGACATTTGTTGTCTGTAATCTGAATCAGCTGTCAGGGAATATGGAATTTGCGTAGTGGTTCTTTGTGATTCATCATCCTGTAGATTTTCGACACCTTTGTAGGTTTAGGTACAAATGTGTAACAGAAATTGAGACGATTTGTGAGTATTATAAGCCTACAAAAATGGATTTATCAAAAATGAAGAACGACAGGAAACTGTACCTGTGTCGCTGGTACTTTTACGGTAAGTAGTTCGTAAGATGATATTGCCCTTTTAGATAAACTGTTTTGCTTACTTTATCTTCTTTTTTCAGCTGGTTTTGCATGCTTACCATTTTTATGGTGTGTGAATTTTGTATGGTTTTTCTCAGAAGCGTTTAGAAAACCATCATATGAAGAACAGAAACAGATAAGAAAATGTAATTGTCCAACATTCAAAAAAGTATTGTTTGTGTGCGGCACATATTCTGATTTTTAATTGATTTGCAGATGTAATAGTTTCTGGAATTGGAGGACTACTTTGGATTATAGCCATTACCACTTGGGTCGTTATATTCCAAACACATCGTGCAGCATGGGGAGAGGCAGCTGACAAGATTTCCTTTATTATACCTGCTGGTACTCCTTAATATATTTACCGTCATATGAGGAATTTGTATTTCAATTCTATATTAATGCATGTACACAAACTTTATTCTGTAAATATTTAGATATGCTCCTAAATACAAGTTTTTTTTAACAATGTTTGTAATTTATTTTAGTCCCAGTTATTTGAAGTCCTGCCACAAGAAGCAATCTTGTCACCTAATTGACTAAACATTTTTATCTATGATGCTCACATTTTAGTTTAAAATTAGTTATTTGGTGGGCAATGATATATCAATAATTGGATTGACTAATTTTGTAATTCAGTAGGACTTTAAATTGCAGTAAAATTCCTCATTAAAAAAATCATATTTTTCTAAGATTAATCCTTTTTATTTATTTTATTACAAGTAAGTAGAAAATAATTTTTTAATTCAAATTTTATACTACATTAAATTTAATTTATTGCCTATGAGATTTTTGCAGAATTATTATGACAGTAAACTTCTCAATATTTATTAACATTTTTACAATACGAAAATTTTCATGAATATAATAGAATAAACTAAAGACATTAACATAAAATTAGTTTCTCAAATTTGAAGACTGTTCGCTACGCCTGTTTGAGTGGATCAATATTCCTCTAATGTCCTTTTGGTTATAACACACCACTTCTACCCTCCAACATACTCAAATGAAATAATCACCCATTCTCCTACCTTACATCCCAAATACCTAATTTACATGCAAAATTTCATGAAATGTATGAGGTGGAGTCAAAATGTTCCATTCCTCATTTTTTGTGTCCATATACTAAAAGCCTTTAAATATGTTCTTTATAATACAATACACACTTTCCATGCCATGATCTTCTGATTTTTGAAAAATTCCACTGTGTGTGTTGGCTGGGCTATCCGGGACAAGCCGCGTCGAAGTCATGGTGGCTAACGTTTCGGCCAGCGTTTGTGGCCCTTCTTCAGAGTGGTACTGCAGGGGCGTTAGAGTAACGCTGCTGAAGAAGGGCACAATACGCTGGCCGAAATTGTTAGCCACCATGACTTCGATGCGGTTGTCCTGGATAGCCCAGCAACAATCAACTCCCGGCGCGGAAGCCTACGCAATCCTGTGTGTGTTTTTTTCTTTTTTTTTTTTTTTTTTATCTCCTTCACATTGTTAATATTTGCATTACATGCGTTCTTTACACATCACTGGACTAGTGAGTACAAGTGATTCAAATGTCTCTTAAAGAAGTTTTTCAAAAACTCATGAGGTTTTTGTGACAATGCTCTAAAAATTATGTATATTTTCAGAAGTGTTCCAATAACATTTTCTTTTAATTCTATTACTTAGGAAACCGAATAATTGAGAAAAAAATATGGTTTTAAAAAACATTTCCTCTATATAAATATTATATGAAAGTAAACTAAACAAGTGTTAACTGATACATGCTAAAATATAATATTTAACATTTTTTGTTGAGTTAATATTGCATGTGATTTTGAAAGAATTTTGATGCTAAAGTAACAATGTTAGCCTTGCGGAAATTAATAGTAATATCAAAGTTGTTCAGATACATGGATTCAATGTTTCAAAGCAAATTAAACGCTGTGTATGTATAAAAAAATTACTTTTATCAAATTATTACGAAATCTATTTATTTACAAATCCATAATTTTTATGAAAAGTGATTGACTTAACAGTGGGAACATATTTTCAGGTAATACTGATATTAATATGATTAGTATTTTTTTTTAAATTTATTCTTGCTTGGCCATTGGCCTTCTGCAGCCATATAAGATAAATATATTGATATCTGATATGTATAAGAATGGACTCTACCACCGATTATTCAACGTTTTCTATATTACCGACCATGTAAGTCTTTGTTGGGAGGGAGTCAAGTGATAGTTTTGTTAATTGTATGTGAGATTTGGAGGGATGTCAGGTCTACGGAGGGTAAATATTTTTGCCTGGCTTTTATTTGGATTTATTTCAATGTGTCATTTTTTTAACCAGTTGGAAAACAACGTGAGGTGATGTTGCAGACCTTTCATGGCAGATTTAAGATTGCAATTGGAGGGAATAAAGTACTGTATTATCAGCAAACAGCAATTTTAGTATTTTGGGTGTTTGGTATATCTGATGTGTACACATTAAACAAAGTTGGGGAGAGGACAACACATGTAGAAATCATATTAATCTAGTGTCAGTATCAACCACTCACAAAAATAAATCTACATGTAATACATGTTCATTACTTTATAGCACTGCCAGATGGCATTAAACAATTAAAATCAATACATAAATTTAAAAGCAAAGTAAAATCTTTTGTGCTGCATAACTGTTTCTATACAATTAGTGTATACTGACCATAAAAGAAAAATAATATTTATTTTAATAAAGATTCTGGGTCAATTACCCCCATCTTGATCCAGTTTTCATACAGTTTCCCTGATTCATTGAGTGAATGTTCAGACGGCCCCTTGTTTTGATTCTGGACATAAATGTAGCTTCACCATACACACATTTTGTTGGGTTCTCATTTTGCTAGTTGTGGTAGGAATTGAGTTGGAGTGTGGGTTACTATTTTGTTAGCAATACTAAAATATCAATTTCCAATTCTTTTGCTGATGCAAATAAGTTTTCTGTAACTCACAAGTGAAAAATGTCTTAGTTTTCAAATGTTGCTAACCTGACGTTTTTGGTACTTTCATTCATTATTCAGCTATGTGTAGTAAAAGGGTGGGAAAGAGATTGTGGACCTCAAGAAAACTTGCTCAATTACATTTTCCTCTTAAGTAACATACTTTCCACGCTGAAAGGCACAAAGGGAAAGAAAAAGTAACACAGTTTTTACTGTTTCATGACAAAAATAAATCAAATCAAATCGTAACACATTCACAATTAGCACAGTCAAGTGATTTAGCCTTGTGAGTCAGGCTTGGGGCTGGTGACCCAAAGTATGTGGATTCTAATGAGGTTCAAAATACAATAAGGCATGAATGTTTTCAGTTGTGTTTAAGACATTAGGGAATTTTTAATCACACTCATATTACATCAATACCATAATCTCTTAGCCTGAGAAGCAATCGTATGCGATTAAGTGAGGATTTGGATCCCACACCTTGAACAATAGCACTAGCACAAAGGTGGAGACAAAGAATATCACGAGCAATTAGGAAAAGGTTCAGGACAGAAGTACAAAGTTCAAGGTGCATTACGATCCTCTTCACCGTACTCCAAGGAACAGTAGGTAGCATGAGAGGTTCTGATGGTCTTTTAGATGCTAAAGAGAATAGGAAAGTGACTAGTATGAGAAAGTGTGTGTCATTCTGTAGCACCATTAGTTATGTATAGTTTCCTTGCAAGTTCGGTTCAGAGAGGTCAAATTGAGTTTTGCTAAAAAGAGAAAGTGTCAAGTCAAAGGTGTTCAACACTAGCCAGGAGGAAGCAAGTGTTCCTAGAAAACAAGAAGGGGATTTCTGAAAAAAACCTTCATGGTATTGTAAGTGTGGAAGGGCAAAAATTAATAAGATTATAAAAAGATAGTTTTAGGAATTTTCAAAATTTGGGCATCTAAAATAACATGTTAACTTACTCAAAAAAACAATTCTAGTAGATTTTTTCTGAAAAAGTGAGATAAACGAACAGATTTGTCTTTTTTATAATTCAAATGTCTGTTGTAAAAGTTCTTTTTTGTAGTGTAAAGTAATTAAAATTATTTTCTGGAAAACATAAAAATTAAACAATTAACACTGACCTGATGTGAGTTTCCTGTGAGGTCATATTGATTAAGCAGCCACCTCTGCGAATGGACAATTTTAGTTTGAGCCATTAGTGACACCTTAAGATCAATTTCAGTGTAAAATAATTTCTACACCTTCAATTGTCAATAGTTTATGATGGAAGACATATTTGCTGGAATATATGTTAAACAAATTTTTTGAAACTTTAGTAATGCGTTATATACTTGTTTTTAAAGATGGAAACAAGGTTAATGCATTTCAGTTCTATACACTTTTAAAATACTCATGATGTAAATTATAGTTATATACTTTTCTTGATAATTAATGAAGTAAATAGGAAGGGCCATTTTCTTCATGAACTGAAGGAGTGTATTTTGATAGTTATACTGACAAAATTTGATGAACAATTAATCATGGGAGAACAAGTACATATTGTGAATATGTGGATCAAGGACTAAGGCATTCCTTCTCGTTTGATGCTGCTTTCCTGAAGAGAGAGATGAAAAGCTCAATGCAGTTCAAATACAACAATCAATTTCTCCTCCACCATGCAAAATGCTGTAGCAAAGCAACTAAATCTCTAAAATTCCACATCTTTTCTAATGATAGCTAGTAATTCCCTTATAGATGACAATCTAAATTACTATTTTCTATGTGATGTCCATCTTCTGCGGAATCATTTCTACACGATTGGATTTAGATTTCCTTCAGCCTTCTGTTTTTCATGTTTTTAATTTTTAATGAAGAAATTTCATAAAGGAAATCAAGATTTTTATTTTTAAAATAAGAAGACAAGATGTGTAGGTAGGTGCTGTATTTAATGTTATAAATGCTTTATAATAAATATTGTTTTCCAAGTTCTTTTGAATCACACAATTCACATTTTATTCTCTTTTATTAACAAATGTGTTCTGCACCTTAAAACTATAAATTAGGAGATTCAATACAATAGAGTAAATAACTATACAAAAATGCATTCTTTTGCCACAAATTAGTAATCAAATGCATTCCTTACAAAGTACTAAGAAAAATGTTCTGCACATTTTGTTCAGGAATTCTTAAACTTGAGTAGGCAAAAAATGTTGCCCAGAATTCTTTCAACCCAAAAGCACTGTGTTTAATGTACTCCAAAAGCATACTTATCAAGTACGCTAATAAGTACATTTAACTTTTCCTTCGGTGATATTTTCTTTCGTCTTTTCACCTTCAAAGCTTGTAGTCATATTTTTGTTTTATCTTCACTGATGTTACTCAAAATAAATCTAGACTTGCTTACAAATTCTTCACTACAAAGCTATGTATACATTTACAAAGAATAAAGTGTCCTGAAGGTAACTTACAAATTATGGCAAACGTTCTGTGTAATTTGGTAAAAGCAGTGATTAAAATGATTTAAAAATAGGAAGCACAAAACACTGGAAGTATAAGTTCATCACAGAAAAAAATCACTGAATAATACATTATTTTATAAATATAATACAGGTCATGTAGATACTTGGGAGTTTCTGCTTAATGGAGCATCTCGGTATCTCCTCAGTTCTCCAGAAACAAGACGGAATAGGCACTGAAAATGTTCAAGTAAATGTTATAGTCACAATTACAGTTAGTACATTATCAATGAGCAGTTTAATGTCACTTAACCTTTAAGTTGTAGCTGACACCCCCTCCCCTCAATTATTTCCACTGCCTTTTTAACCCCTAGGGAACCTGAGTTTGCATACAACTGTGGCTTATACGCTCATTGCCACCAAGAACTGTCTATGCCTCTGATGGCATGTAAGCCTGTGATAGTATTTGAAATGCAAAGAACCACACAACATTTGGGCAAGAGAGGACTGGAATGCCCAAGGCAAGATTGAAACTCGTAGACCCTGCAGCTTGTGGTTGCTACTGTCATTATGGGACCCAGCTACACTTAGTTATAGAATTTTTACTAACATAATTAAACTTTACTGTTCTAAGATATTTTCTAATGCTTCAAATACACAGGTATTAAAAGAAAATAAACCATTCTAAGATGATTTTGGTGATACATAAATGAATGTGTTGGATCACAGCAGTTCATCAAACATATAGAAAGGTCAGGGGACAGTGTCCATGCCTTTTTCAATCCCAATTTTTCTAAAGAAAATAAAGAATTTTAATAAAATACATTATATTGTAGAGGAAAGTGTGTTTCCTCTATAACAATCTTTAGAATGATGCTTTGGCTACATTAACTTACT